GAGGCAAAGGAGCTATTCTAAGAGGCCTCTTCAAGGTCTCAGAGCCCTAGAAACTGTAAGGACCTTGAGGTTGTAATTAAAGCTCTACAGAGCCTAAAAATCTCAGCTTGAGAGTCTCTTGTCCAAACGTTCTGAGTCCAAGAGTCCATCTTTGGAACATTCTAGAATTCTCCAGTTTTGCTAGCTCAGATTTCTCCATCTTCCCGCACCATGTTCTATCTATCCCAGGATTCGCTGCCCTAAAAGTCTAGCTGAATGCTCGGTTAGGGGAGTGGGTAAGATCACGAGTAAGGAGCCAGACTTCCGGGGTTCAACTCTTGGGGAACCACTGACGCTGACAAAAGTGCCTCCTGATCCGTACAACGAAGATATATAGCAATCCATCATAGAGGACTATAGTGAGGATCCAACTGGCCAGAAGGTGCAAGAGGAATGAGGATCTGAGAACTCAGGCCTCAGAAAGTAGAAAACTACATGAATCAGAACTCGGGGCTTTTAGGACCTCAGATACACAGGAAACACTCTGTGTCTGCTAAAATATAAAAACGAACAGTTCTATGCAGCCTCCAGTGCCAGCATTCTGGCAGCGAGATGTTCTTTCGGGGGATTTCAGGATTCCCGAATTTCTAAGACTCTCAGATCCCATGCTGACATCTTCTGGCTCTAAGGAAATGCCAAGGCTGGGCGTGGGGCCCTCCCAGCACTGGTGTGGGCAGACGGGCTGCCGGGGCCACCAGGGGGCGCTCCGGGTCACGCGGACAGCGCCTGAGCTCAGACCCCGGGAATGCGCTGCGGGCCTGGGCAGGTGCCTCACCTCCCGCGGCAGGGGAGCGGGGGCCGGGCGGGGCGCGAGGGCGGCGCGCGCCGCGCCTCTGTTCCCAGGCCCCTGCCCTGCACTTCCAGCTCCCCGCTCCCCCTCCTGCGGGCTCTAGTCCACCCCTGGGTACCCTCTAACCCCAGGTCTCACTTGTCCCTTCTCCTCCACCCCTAACTCTCTGTTCCCAGGGTCTCGTGCACGCGGCCAGGCCAAGCAAGTTCTTCGGCGTAAGGACCCCGGGGGAGCTTCCTGAAGGAATCATCATCCTCAGTGGGAAGCGCGACAAAGCGCCAGGCTAGGCTGGGAATACTCTGGTTGGAAACCTACATTTCTGTCCAGACAGACAGACGCTGGACGAGACCCCACCCTCTCCGGGACTTGGTGTTCCTCCTCTGTGGAACAGGCTAGGGCCTTCCCTTCTCGAAGTCTCTACCCTGGACTAGTTATATAGTTTCTCTGTGCCTCAGTTTCCTCGTGTGTATAATGGGGGAATTTATCCCCTCTCCTCAAAAGGGTGTAAGGTTTGAGTGACATAATTTTTGGACTGCATTTAGAACAATGCAGGGCACCAAATAAAGTTCACACATAGAGGATTCTTAATCACGCACCTTCCTAGGGCTGTTCTATTAAGATAACACAGGATCTAACACACAGTGAGGGGTCAAGACCCAGAGGAATTTCATTTTTTACACAAAAGAGGCCTTTTGACTCTTCCTGAAAGTCTAAAAGCCCTGGGTTTTGACCTCTGGAGTCTCAACTTCCTAAACCCTAAATTCTCCTTGTACATTAGTGAGTTCTGGCTTGTGGTCATCCCCAAAAATTCAGGCTGAGGGGCACGGGATGCCCTGGAAGATTCCAGAGAGAAGGTGGCAAAAGCCCAGGGTGTGGGCTGTGCCTGCCGGCTCTCCAGCCTTAGTTTCCCCAGTGGAGTAGAGAGAAGTCATTGCCTGGGGTGGAGTCAGCAAACCACCTGCGGGCAGTGCCTGAGACCTCTGTAGACAGTGGGAACCACGCCATCCTACCTACCAGCCCTGAGCCTGGCGCGCTGTGAGCTCTGTCTTGGCAGCCACGGTTGGTTATTATTTTTAATTTCATCTCAGGCTATCACCGAATGCCCTTCAAGCCCAGACATTCGGAAGTTCTTCCCTCTCTCATCAGAACCCCCTGCATCCCCCACTCCCTTGTTCAATCCCCTCACGTGACACGTAGGGGTGGAGAGAAGAGAGAGACAGACAGAGGGAGGTGCCCATGCCTGCCCTCCCCCAGCTTCAAGGACAGACACACACCTCCAGAATTAGCCTCTATCCCTCGCTTATCTCCCACACTACCTCAGGTCAGACAGATGGGGGTGGAGGTGACATTTCTCACCTCAGGGTCAGGGCAAGGAGCCCTAGGAGGAGGAAGGTTAGTCAGAAAATCTGGTGGGAATGGATGGAATCCCGTCCCCCAGGCAGCTGCAGAAGAAGTTATAAACTAATCAGCTCTGCTATCTGAGACAGCAGCTCAGAAGGGGCCACATAGTCCAATCAACTCTTACCTGTGTGACCTCTTAGCCTCAGTTTACCACTATCCTCTCAGTCTCATGCCTGTGTAGTGCCCGGCATGCAAGCCTCCCGGAATCCAATCCCACCTTCTGGAATTCTGCCCTGGGTTCTAGAACCCCCTCGGCAAACCCCAAATATTCCCCACCTCCAAGGGGTAAGGGGAGGCTCCCGCCCCCACGAGGGGGCGCCCTGGGGTGGAGGTCCCTCCTCTGGTTAAGCAGGTCTGACGCGCCAGTTAATGACATGTTGGGGATCTCGCAGCCGCACGCAGGTTGGAGAACTGCCCCGGTCCCCCCCACTGGCCCCCACACCAGAGCCGGAAAGTGTAGGGAGCGCCGGAACCCAGCCTTCAGAGGGACCTCGGGGGCTTGTCCTGCTACATTTCAGGGCCCCGAGTTCCACTATCCCCATCCCACTCCGAAATCTGTCTCGAGACCTAGAGGTTCGGTGGAGAAAGCAACTGGCGGGCGTCAGGGATGACCGCCCTTTCCAGAACCCCGTCAGTCCGAGTCTTGTCATTTCTGCTCAGGACTCAGGGATCCAATACCCCAATTCTACTCAAAGCCTCAGACTTCTGAGGGTGCTCAATTCGTGGGACTCAGGGGTCCCAACTCCAGCGTCTCCCCAGGACCATGGCGTCCGAGCCCTCCACCCCAAGAACTCAGGCATCAAAGTCCCCTTTCCTTTTGCCTAGTAAATATGAGTTCTTTCCTTCGAAGGACCCTGGCATCTGCGCACCCCCAATTCCGCCCTGGGACTCTGCGTCCGAGCCCCCTCCCAGTCCTCCCAGGGACACGGTGTCGGCCTCCTCAGAGGCGCTGGACCCCAGTGGAGTGGAACTCACGGATCCGGGGCAAATCCTGGCACTGGGGGACTTCCTCCGGCTCCGGCTCCGGCTTCGGGGAGCCGAGAACGGGGCGGGGCAGGCGCCGGGAACAGGTTAGACGACGTGACTCCGGCTGTTGGGAGGCGGGTCCCAGAGGAGAGGAGGAGTAGGGGTCGCCTCGAGCACCTTGGGACTTGTAGTCCTGGAGGGGCGGTACGCAGCCTGAGACGTTCCCTTTGGGAATCAGTGAAAATCCATTTCACAGACAGAAAGGGCGAGGTCCGGAAGCCCAGGGCGACCTGACCAAGTAGATAGAATCGACTTTAACCACGCCGTGACTGAGGGAGGCAGCCTCCTGAATCCCTGCCCCACCCCTCTAGGTTTAGGTTCCCCCTTGTACAAAGAAGATTTGGACGCCACCAAAGGGGTAAAAGGTTAGAGGATGGGGGAGACTCATATGCCCCGTCCCTAAGGCGAGAAGAGAGCCTCGAAAAATCAGTAGCCCCTCGAGTCTCTGAGCCTCAATCTCCCCGTCGATAAAAAGGATGGGTTGGATCTTTACAGATTTTCCCAGCAAAGGAGTCCAAAGTCGTAGGCTGGGACTACAATCCCCAGCAGCTTCCGCGATGGACGTCGGGCGTCTCCCCTCCTCGCGTCCTCTGGGAATTGTAGTTCGGAGCCCTCAGGGGCGGCGCCCGGGTGTCTCGCCCACGCTGGGGAACCGCCTGGTGATCCCCGGCTGAGGGTACGCGTCCCCTTCCCCTGACCCTCCTTCCGTTCTGGGAAGACGCTCACACCCCGAGAAAGGGAGACGCCCCAATTTTCGAATAGGATCCGAAATCACGGCAGAGGGGGCGGCAAGTGGCGCTGACACACCGGCCAGGAATGCAGTCGGGTCACCCTGTCTAGCCGCGGTCCCGCGGCTCCGCCCACCGCCCCAAGCGGTGCGGTCTCTGTGGAAAGGGGCGTGGACGCAACCCCCAAATCTGTGTCCACGTGCCGCTGTTTACACGCGCCTCCCCGCCCCCACCCCCGGCGAAGAAAGGGCGCTAATCAAGCCTTCTATTCCCTCTCCCATCCTCAAAGCCTTCGGAAATGTCCCCCACGCACTAGACTAAGTCCTCGGTGGCATCTATATGTCTCATTTGGTCCACAAAGCCCGCCCCCTACCCCGCACCGCCCCACGCGTGTTTAGCTTAGGAGTCTAGAGGCCCCGCCCCGAGGCGCACAGGCTCCTCCCTCTACATTTCCCGCTCCCTAGGAGTTCAGAAACCCCGCCCCTAAGCTGGTACTTTAAGTTCTCCGGAGGAATTATCCCGTTTCTCCATTTTCCCACTTGTCCCACCCAAGTTCCGAATTTCGCAGGCATCTGAGCCTCCCAGGAAGGGGCTGTAAAACTAAAAGCACGGCCCTGCCAACCTAGTCTCTTACCTGTCTCTTTCAGAATCTCACACCAATCGAGCTTCCTGTCTCTTTAAGAGTTAGGAGCTACCAGCGGGCCGGCCCCTTTAAGACGACATTGGAGCAAATAATATGAGAGATTGGGGGGGGATACCCGCCGGGACCCGGCGAGGCGCAAACACCCGCCAAGCAGCTAATCAGCTCCATGGGGGAGAAAGTTTTCGGGAAAAGACGTCTTCTTCTGTTGTCTGCTGTGCACAAGCGGAAACTCCTCCCATTCTGCTCGTAGAGCGAGCGGGCCCCGAGCGACACCCCCGTGCTCCCGCACCGCATGGGCGCTCCCGGGTAAAGCCCCGCCCCCTGGTTCCACGTGGTCAGCTGCGCCACTCGGGTGGCTCTTGGCTGCTGGGTCTGAGGAAGGCACGGGTCACGGGATGGCGGGCACCCCGTCCGGCGGTGAGTTGCATCAGGACGGGCCGGCGGGGTGCAGAGCTGGCTGCCGGGAGGAGAAAGGGGCGCCGGGGGCATTCGGACGGAAAAAGGGACATCCCAGAAACAGGACCTCCGGAGAGAGTATCTCCCGCCCTTCGGGAGATACTTCGGACTGAGGGAGGGTATGGGGTGGGGTAACCTACCGGTGGAGGGAAGGGCCCCTCCAGGAATTGGCTCGGTGGAGATAGGGGTGCCTCTGGGGGACAGGCAGGAGAGAGGAGACCGGGTGGGGGGATTGAGGCGCTCAGGAGGCTGGGACCCAACGGCCAGTAGGCACCCTGGAGGATTGGATACGCGGAGAAGTGATAGCAGACCCCGTTTCCTCTTCTGCAGGTGCTGCTCCGTTCTCCTGTCCCCCCAACTTTACCGCGACATCCCCAGCTTCAGAGCCCACTCGTTTCTCTCTGGAGGTGTTAAGGGACCCAGATACGGAACTGTGGCTTATCCAGGCTCCTGTAGACTTCGCCCCAGACTGGTGAGTGGTCCCAGGCCACCTCCTGGAATACCCACCCCCCACCCCAGTGGCTGAACTTGGGCAAAGTTTAGAGGGGCTTTCCAAAGGCACTCAGGGCACCTGGGCAGTTCAGTTGGTTAAGCATCTGATTTTGGCTCAGGTCATGATCTCAGGGTCCTGGGATCAAGCCCTGCATCGCTCTTGGAGTTGGCTTCTCCCTCTCCCATGCTGGTGCTTCCTCTCTCAAATGAATAAATTTTTTTTTTCTTTTTTTAGTGCTGTTTCTCAGCTCCTTTCCTCCCTTTCACCAAAACAATCTGATAAAGCTTCTGCCTTCCCCTTTTTCCTTTCAGCCTCAATGGCCGGCTGGTGCCTCTCTCGGGCTCCCAGATTGTGAAGGGCAAGTTGGCAGGCAAGCGGCACCGCTACCGGGTCCTCAGAAGCAGCGGCCCCCAGGCTGGAGAAGCAATCCTGCTGGCTCCCTCAGGGGAGGCTGGAGGGGGACTCACCTGTGCCCCAGCCCCCCAGGGCAGCCTAAGGATCTTTGACGGTCCCCAAGAATCCCCACCCGGGACCCTGCTGCAGCCCATCCCAGCAAGCCCCCCGCCACAGATACCCCCTGGCCTGAGGCCTCGGTTCTGTGCCTTTGGAGGCAGCCTACCAGTAACAGGGCCTGGGTCCATCTTGGCACTGAAGTCGGGAGCCTCAAGGAAGAGGAAGAAGAAGAGACATACACCAGAAGCCTTAGTTCCCCAGGAGGTGGTTAATGGGCTTGGGGCCCTGGAGGTGGACACAGTTTTAGGGTCTCCAGATGGGGACGTGGGGAAGAAGAAAAAAAAGCAGGAGCTGAGGGAACCAGTGGTGATGGAGCCCTTGGCAGCAGAGCCCATGGCTGAGACATCGGAGCCCCCGGGAGCACCGTTCCCGTCCACCACCACCAAGAAGAAGAAAAAGAAGCCCCAAGGGGCAGAAACAGATGAACCAGAAGAGCAGAAGCCAGCGCCTGAAGAAAAGACAGTGGAGCTGGAACGCACAATTAAAAAGGAGCCTCTGGAAGAGACGGTCTTGTCTCCCACCAGGAAGAGGAAGAGGCAGAAGGGGACGGAAGGCTGGGAGCCAGGGGAAGGGATGCCAGCCGAGGCTCTGCTCCCGCTGAAGGTGGAGCCCCAGGAGGAAGCCATCCCACTGCTCTCGAAGAAGAAGAAGAAAGAAAAGGGGTACAAAGTCATGATGGAGCCTGCGACCGAGGCGACAGAGCTGGAGATGGGCCCTCTGGTGCTCCCAGGGGAGATAATGGAGCCCAAACTACCACATGAAGTTGAGCCTGAGTCTGAGGCTGCTCAGGCATCCACCAAAAAGAGGAGGAAGAAAGAAAAGTGGCCAAACGCGACGGGGGAGCCAGGGGAGTCTCAGATGGAGCCTGAGCCGCCTGGGGACCTCGAGCTGCAAACAGGCCTAGCAGCCACCGAGAAGAAGAAGAAGAAAGAACGCGGCCACAAAGCGACGGAGCCAAGGGCCGAGATGAGCGCCCCACAGGCTGAGGTGTTGGAGCTGGAGCTGCTGGGCGAGGGGGAGCCCGAGGCCAGGGCAGATCCAGCATCCACCAAGAAGAGGAAGAAGCGGGGCCGGGAAAGTGGGGTGCCGGAGACGGCGGCCCAGGAGGAGATGCCCAGACCGCTGCTGCATCCAGAGTCCGGGGAGGGGGCTCCCGCAGGACGGGAGAAGAAGCAGAAGAAGCTACAGCAGGATCCCATGTAGTCTCCTCCTGGGAAACTGAGGGCTACCATTAAGAAAAGCTGGAGGTGACCACCTGGACCAGCAGAGAGCGAGCACAGAGGACCCTGGTCTCCCCTCCGCCCCGGGTGACTGCCCCGGCACACCAGCAGCAGCCTGGGCCAGGAAAATGCTTTATTGTTACACCAAGGGCCTCCTTCGAAGCTGGGGTCATCGGGGCACTTTCAGGAAGGGCTCATGTAGGACGTCAAACACCCTCCGGGCCTGGGTGAGAGCAAGAAAGAAAGGAGGAGCCCGTCATTAAATGAGCCATTTGTTTGCTGCATCTGGAGTGGGCTTTGCTTCTTTCCCTCTCAGCCGGAGGGGACTCTGGGGACTAGGAGTGAAAGAGCCAGATCTTGAGTTTGTCCCAGACTGGCTGTGTGAGTTTGGGCTGGTTCCCACCCTCTCTGGGCCTCGGTTTTCCCCAGCTATAGGAGAAGCACTGTGAGCCTTCTGAAATCTTAGAGCTTTGGGATCTGAGGTCCCTTTAATCTGGAGCTGTCTCCTGCCTCGGTCTCTCAAGCCCATTCCCACAGCTCTTACCTTCTGGGGTCCCAGGCCCGGGCACAAAGCCAGATCTTCCCGCGATGCGGCCATGAGCTGTTCCAGAGACTGAGGAAGATGGGAGTGAAGGGTCAGAGATGGGGAGCACGAGACTACCCTGTACCTGATCGGGGGTCTCAGAGATCCCAGGAAGGAGCGGAGGTCCTGTGCGAGGGCAGGGGAGGCAGGAAGGATGGGGGGGATGGGGCAGAGCAGTGGAAGGAAACAGTTGTGGGGGGGTGGTCCTTGAAAAGGCAAAGGGGTCAGAATGCCCATTGGGACGAGGGAGTCATTCCTTACCCCAAAAGTAGTCAGGAGGGTCTGGCTGTCTGTTTTATTGACTGACTTCACAGTGGTCAGGCATTCAGTGACCTGGAAGGGAAAGAGGCAGAGATGCATCGCGAGAAGAAATGACCGCAAGAGGGAGCCTGTGGGGGGCAGTGCTGGGTCACCACTGGGTCCCCGGACACCCTGCATGCAGGAGGTATTCAACTAAATGCCTTTTTCTTTGATTAAAAAGTTCATCTCAGTGGGTTACCTGAGTAGCTCAGTCTGTTATGTGTCTACCTTCAGCTCAGGCTCCAGGCATCGAGCCCTGTGTCGGGCCCCCCTGCTCAGTGCAGGGCGTGCTTCTCCCTCTCCTTCTGCCTCTGCTCCTCCTCCCCTCCACCCCCCACGCCATGCTCTCACAAATAAAATCTTTTTTTTTTTTTTTAAGATTTTATTTATTTATTTGACAGACAGAGATCACAAGTAGGCAGAGAGAGAGAGAGGTGGAAGCAGGCTCCCTGCTGAGCAGAGAGCCTGATGCGGGGCTCGATCCCAGGGCGCTGGGATCATGACCTGAGCTGAAGGCAGAGGCTTTAACCCACTGAGCCACCCAGGTGCCCCACAAATAAAATCTTTAAAAAAATAATAAACTTTTAAAAATTTTAAAAATATAAGTTAATCTCAGAGTGGTCCCCGCCCAGGTGAGAGGGTGTCAGTCCTATCATAAGAAGATAAATACCATTTCTCTCGAGTTCGTTCTGCCCAGGGGAAGACTACAGGCTCTCAAGTCCCATGTGAGTTCAAAACTACAGCCCACTGCTTGCTCCCTGTGAGGCCTGGACATGGGAATTGACCCCTCTGGGCCTCTTTTCAGGCAAGTGGGGGGCCCTAAGATTCCCCACCTCAGCGGTGGCAGTGGATGTCCACCATTATTCAGTCATTGGAGCCCAGGTTAAATAATTCATTCAGCCAGTGCACCCTGAGCACCCACTGAGTGCTGCGTGTGCTGGGGACACAGCAGAGACCGAGCCAGCCTGGCCCTCCTGGGGTTCCCAGTCCAGTGTGGCGGACACAGCAGCTCCTGACAGTGGTGACCCACACAGGGAGGGCTGCGGGGGAGACCCCAAAAGGGGCACCTGACTTGGCCAAGGGATCAGGGAGGGCTTCCTGGAGAAGGAGGCATCAAAGCTGAGATGGGAAAGATGGGATTAGGCAGGTAGGCAGGCAGAGGGAACAGAAGGTCACAAGCTTAGAGGAGTGAGCCACATCTGGGAGAAGTGCCAGAATGCGACACCAGGGGCAGATGGGGCTGCTGGGCATTGTAGGCAGGGCCTTGTGAGGAGGCCAGGCGTACCCTGAAGGCACTGGGGAGCCATGGGAGGGTTCTGAGCTGGGGAAGGCAGAATCAAGTTTGTGCTTAAAGAAGACCCCTCTAGCCACTGTGTGAGTGAGAAAGGGGAGAAGGAGCTGAGAGTGGGATGGGGAGAAGAGGTAAAGTTCGAGCCCTGGGAAGGAGCTGGGGGAGGCCTGGGAAAGGAAGTGCCGTGGCCTCACCCGGGAGACGAAGTCCTGCTCCAGCTTCTCCATCAGGAGGTCCGCCGGCTTCTGCTCATAGGCCTTGTAGGTCTCCAGGTAGCGCCCGGCCTCCTCAGGGCTGGGGTGAGAACATTCGGGTCAGCCAGGAGGAGTGGGGCATGTTTTAGGTTCATTATGATGCTAACTCTAATACAGAGAAAAACAAACTTTCCTCCTCTAAATGTTCCCCGGCGACAATCCCGACAATCCCGGCCAGGCGCACTAAGGGGCTGAGCCTGGGAGCCCGACCCGCTGGATTCAGGTTGCTCCTGCCCACTTGAGTGACCCTGGGGCCAGTGATTTTCTCTCTCTGGGCCTCAGTTTCCTCATCTGTAAAGTGGAGTGAATGCAGAATTGCGACAATTATAGGAGCCATGGCTTCAAGCGCTCAGAGACCTGTTTAAGAAACGAGCTATTCTGGGGCGCCTGGGTGGCTCAGTGGGTTAAAGCCTCTGCCTTCAGCTCAGGTCATGATCCCAGGGTCCTGGGATCGAGCCCCACATCAGGCTCTCTGCTCAGCGGGGAGCCTGCTTCCTCCTCTCTCTCTCTCTGCCTGCCTCTCTGCCTACCTGTGCTCTCTGTCTGTCAAACAAACAAATAAGATCTTAAAAAAAAAAAAAAAAAAAAGAAACGAGCTATTCTGGAAGGGAAGCGGGTATGTGGAGTTTGAGAGGGAGAAAAACCACAAACACTGTTACTCTCTTCCCAGCCCCAGGAAGACCAATTCAGGAGGCATTCAGTCCCCACTGCCGGTTTTTTTTTTTTTTTTTAAGATTTTATTTATTTATTTGTCAGAGAGAGAGAGGGAGAGAGAGCGAGCACAGGCAGAGTGACAGGCAGAGGCAGAGGGAGAAGCAGGTTCCCTGATGAGCAAGGAGCCTGATGTGGGACTCGATCCCAGGACGCCGGGATCATGACCCGAGCCGAAGGCAGCTGCTTAACCAACTGAGCCACCCAGGCATCCCCCCACTGCCGGTTTTTAATGTAGCATGCCTTCAAGAGGAAGGTTGCGGGCGAGCTGACAGCCGAATCTTACTATAGCCGCTAACATGACCTGAGAATGACAGTTTTCACGTCAGGCATGGGTTCCTCTGACCTGTAACCAACTGCTTCAAAGGTAGGCGACCTAAGCAAATCTTCACAAGGCTCTATCTGTGTGCAGAAGAAAGTAACTCAAGTTTATTGGCTCTGGGAAGAAGCTGCCTTTTTTTGTTCGGGGAGTTTGCGAAGAGTGAGTTGAGTGGAAGTAAATAAAGGATTCAGGGTCAAGGCCTCAGGAAAGGTAAAGAGCAATTTTTTTTGTTTCTTTTTTTTTTTTTTTTTTTTAAAGATTTTTTTTATTTATTTATTTGACAGAGAGAGATCACAAGCAGGCAGAGAGGCAGGCACAGAGAGAGGCAGAGAGAGAGGAGGAAGCAGGCTCCCTGCTGAGCAGAGAGCCCGATGCGGGGCTTGATCCCAGGACTCCAAGATCATGACCTGAGCCGAAGGCAGCGGCTTAACCCACTGAGCCACCCAGGCGCCCTGTTTCTTTTTTTTTAATTAAGTGATGGTTCATATTCTCAAAAGAAACATTCATTTTTCTAATTCTTTTTTTTCCCATCAGACGGGTGTTTCGGCTTTTCAGCAGGATTATTGTTAATGGTTCTTTTTTTTTTTTTAATATTTTATTTATTTATTTGACAGAGAGAGAGAGATCACAAGTAGGCAGAGAGGCAGGCAGAGAGAGAGGGGGAAGCAGGCTCCCCGCCGAGCAGAGAGCCCGACTCGGGGCTCGATCTCAGGACCCTGAGATCATGACCTGAGCCGAAGGCGGAGGCTTTAACCCACTGAGCCACCCAGGCACCCCTCCTGTTACAGTCCTTAATAATTTGTTCGGGACCCTCACGTTACGACACTATGTCACATCCTAGAATTTGCTTTCTTTTTCGCACTCTACAATATAAGCAGGATGTCTTCCCCTGTCAGCAGAAGGAGCTTGGCCTCTTTTATTTAATGGTTGCAAAATATTCCATGATTTGCATGTAAAGACACAGTAATCATGAGAGTCTAGATGCATGCCAGGCACTGCTCTAACTCATTATGGTCAGAAGCTTCCAGAAACCCCTGCCCCCACCCCAAAGCTCCTATATGGCACTTAATATTTTCAAACCATTATACAGAGGAAGAAACATGGACCAGCGGGGTGGGGTCACTTGCCCAAAATGACACAGCTGAGAGAAACAGCACCTTTAACTTTATGTGACGTGACGCTACTTCCCACAAAATAGAGTAACGTTTACAATTGCTTTTAATATACAACTAACTTGGGGGCGCCTGGCTGGCTCAGTCGGTAGAGTATGCGACTCTTGATCTCTTGGGGTCGTGAGTTCAAGGTCGTGACTTGGCCTATATGCCTGACAGAACATTACACAGCTGGGAAAGAATGTGCATCCAGACAATGGGATATTATTCAGCAGTAAGAAGTGAGCTTCCTAATCACAAGAAGGCCTGGAGGAACCTTAGAAGCGTATTGCTAAGTGAGAGAAGCCAATCTGGAAAGGCTTCTGTGAGGTAAGAGGAAACTTCTACGGTCTCTGCACCCTGGTTTCCGGCACAGAGCTCAGGAGACCCTTGTACCTTCCTCAGAGAAAAGAGCACAAGGATGGGGCGCCTGGGTGGCTCAGTGGGTTAAAGGAGCAAGGAGCCCGATGGGGGGGCTCGATCCCAGGACCCTGGGATCCCCTCCCCAGAGGTCACCGCTGTCCAAGGCCTGGAGCCCATTGTAGCCCTTTCTAGTTTATCTGCATACGTGTCTGTTCCAAAACACGGCTCCCTTTCCTTCCTTCTGCCCATAAATAAAAATACGGTGCTGTCTGGTTCTCACCACCGAAGCTGCACTGATGGCCCGCATCATCGCAGACGCACATTTGCACATGCGAGCAGGGCTCATCCTGGTGCGGGAATGTCTGCGTTGAAGAGCGGTGTCTATTTCATGTTAATGGCCAATCAAGTCTCCCGCCAACCAAATGTGCAGGTGCCCGTTTCATGCTATCCATCTGAGACGTTTTCACCAGATTTATGAGAGAAAAATGGCACCTCATTTTTAAAAAGCAGCTTTTTTCAGGCACCTGGGTGGCTCAGTCGGTTGAGCGTCTACCTTCGGCTCAGGTCATAGTCCCAGGGTCCTGGGATCGAGCCCCACCACATGGGGCTCCCTGCTCAGCAGGGGGGTCTGCTTCTTCCTCGTCTCTGCCCCTCCCCCACCACATGTGCTCCCTCTCGCTCTCTCAAATAAAATCTTAAAAAAATAGAATAAAATAAAATTTATTTTTTTCCTGATAAACAATAAAGTTCGTATTTTTTCATGTGTTTTGGCAACCTGAATTAGATGCTTATTTGGGCTCTGACTGACTTCTGGAAATTTCTTTCCACATACAAATATATAATAAATGTTTAAATATATGCATGTAAGTATAAATATTTAAGTGTATTAACACTGTATAAATATAACTTATATGTACATACATAAATTAGAGATGTTAAATATTTATTTTATACATATATATATATATATATACACATTGTATACATGTATATATATATGTGCACAGCAAGTACTTTTTTGTAATTTGTCACTTGGCTTTTAACTTTATTTACAGTCTCTTACTATCCAGAAGTTTTAAAGTTTTAATATTCTCAAATCAGCCAAACTTTTTCCTTTATGGCTTTGGGGTTTTGGGTCTTGCTTAGACCCAAAACTTTTCCTACCCCAAGATTACGGAAAACATTCTCCTGTAAGATTTCTTCTAACACGTTGTTTGGTTTTTTTTTAATGTCTCTAATTTGTCAGGATTTAATTTTTCTTTATGGTGTAAGGAAGGGATATCTTTTTCCCAATTAGAAATTAGCCAATCTAAGGACGCCTGGGTGGCTCAATGGGTTAAAGCCTCTGCCTTCGACTCAGGTCATGATCCCAGGGTCCTGGGATGGAGCCCCACATCGGGCTCTCTGCTTGGCGGGGAGCCTGCTTCCTCCTCTCTCTCTGCCTGTCTCTCTGCCTATTTGTGATCTCTGTCAAATAAATAAATAAAATCTTTAAAAAAAAAAAAAAAAGAAAGAAATTAGCCAATCTAAATAGTCTTTAGAAACCCAGATATGGAATTATTTATTCAGACAGACTTTATATCTAACTCATCAGTGCCTAGTATGGTTCTGGCAATCTGACACAGGTCACCTGTTTGGGTGACCATGGCCCTCTAAGATATTAAGACCCTATTTTAAAGATGAAGACATTGAGGCCCAGAGGGAGGCAGTGCCTGGACCAGGCTCATACGGGGAGTTCATGGCAGGAGAAGGAAAGGTCTGGGCGGGGGTGGGGTGGACTGACTCTCGGGATGGAGCCTGACCTGGGCGGGGAGCCTCGGTCTCACCTCCAGGCAAGGACTAGGGTGCAGTCAGCCAGGATGCACATCTTGGCCAGCTCCTTGAGGGCCTGCTGAGGATCTTTCTGGGTGGAAAAGAAAGTCAGAATGAGAAATCTGGTAGAAAGCAGGAATTACAGTCTTGAAAACACAGTAGGTTAGGATGCCAAGCACCTTCCACTTGACTGACACGCGCTAAGCTCTGACTGGGCTGGGCAGTGCCGCCTGTGCTGGGCAGTGCCGCGACCCCGCAGCAACCAAGACAGCCCAGGCTCTGCCCTCTCGGGCTCACAGTCTGATGAGGCAGATAAACTGTCCCCGCACAGTGATGAGCCACAGTAGGCAGGACTGGGATGGGAGAGTAGGAGCATCTGACCTGCCCAGGGGATCAGGGAGAGCTTCCTGGAGGAAGGGACATCTGAGCTGAGACCTGAAGGGGAATGAAGAGGTGCGAAGGAGGCAAAGGAGAACAAAAATGGAATTCCACAGAGAACAGCTTATCCAAAGGATGGGAGGGGAAAGAGGGCTTGAGGAGTTGTGATTCACATAGTATGTGAGAATGATGTAAAGGGGTAACCACACGGAAGCTTAGAAATGAACCCAGAGGGGCACCTGGGTGGCTCAGTGGGTTAAGCCTCTGCCTTCAGCTCAGGTCATGATCTCAGGGTCCTGGGATCGAGCCCCGCTTCAGGCTCTCTGCTCAGCGGGGAGCCTGCTTCCCCCTCTCTCTCTGCCTGCCTCTCTGCCTACTTGTGATCTCTCTCCCTGTCAAATAAGTAAATAAAATCTTAAAAGAAAAAAAAGAAAAGAAATGAACCCAGAGTGTGGGGCATGGGGGGCAGGCACACAGGGCCTCACAGGCCACAGACGGCACTGGAGAGCCACGGAGAGATGTAGACAGATCTGTCCTTTAGGGAAACTCCTCTGGCTGCGGTAAGGAGGGGAGGCACTGAGGTTAGAGGCCATGAGACAAGGGAAGAGGCTGGAGCCAAGCCCCTGGATGAGAGGATGACACCGATTCAAGACACATTCAGGTGGCAGAGGGCTGGGCTCGGCCGAAGTGGGATAGGGAAGGAGGAGATGGATGATTTTACCCTCTGACTCCCCCTTGCCAATACAGGGTGTCAATCCTAGATGTGAGAGGTGGTTCCTCACTGAGGTTTCAGCTTGCATCTTCCCTCAGGATTCAATAGTCCACTTGGCGGCCGTGAGGCCCAACGCGCCCCATTTCACAGACGGGGCCAATGAGGCCGGTAGGGAAGTGACTGCTGCTTACCACGTCCACCTGGACGAGCAGGACCCGCAGGGCGAAGCTCTTCCCCAGGCTCTGCAGCCGCTCGTGGATGTAGTCTGGGTGGAGGTTGTGGTAGCGGAGGCTGGGGGGCAGGGGAGAGGGAAGGATTGGGAGGCCTCAGTCTCCCCGAGACCCCAGGAGCCCTTCTTCACTCTCGCTGGCAGGCAGAGGGTGTGGGCAACACAGGGATCTGAGGCTCAGAGAAGTGAAGTGACGTGGCCCAGCTCACTCAGCAAGGCAGGGGCACAGTGGGGTTCACAGCAAGGGCTGCCTGGCTCTGGCTCCCTGGAGGGACAGACCCCAGGTTCCTCATGGAGGCAGGGAAGAGACTTGGGCTTTGGGTAGAGGATAGGGAACCAGGGCTCAGAGATCGTGGACTGCGGGACACTGTGCAGCTTATCTTGGGAGGCAGGCCCATCCCAGGGACTGTCTGCTTTGGCCTCAAAAGGGGCTGGCAGGGGGAAGGGGTGGCTTTCCCACCCAGGGAACTAGGGGACATCTCTGCCCAGCAGCCACCAGCTCTCCCACCTTGCAGGGGGGACAGGAACTTAGAAGTTTCACTTCCCCCTCGAGCTCTGTCTGGAGAGGAACCCCGGGGAGTAGAGAGGGAATGGGCTTCATAGGGGCAGAGGGTAGAGAAATCCTGGTTCTCATCAACTCGTCCTAGATGTCTGGGACATGAGTGACCTGACCCCTTCCTCCCTCAGACCCAGGAGTCCAGGCCCCCAGCCTCCTCCTCTCTCAGACCCAGGAGCCCAGGCCCCCAGCCTCCTCTTTCAGACCCAGGAGCTTAAGACCTCCAGCTCTCTCCTCCCTCAGACCCAGGAATCCAGGCCCCCAGCCCCTCCTTCCTCAGACTCAGAAGTCCAGGCCATCAGTCTCCTCCTCCCTCAGACCCAGGAGCCCAAGCCCCCAATCCCTTCCTCCCTCAGAACCAGAAGCCTAAGGCCCCCCCAGCCCTGTCCTCCCTCAGATTGAGGAGCCCGTGCCCCCAGACCCTCCTCCCTCAGACCCACAGTCTGGGCCTGTAGCTCTTCTGACTCTGGGCACCTCCAGGCTAAGACCTCTTCCTTCCATACAAGGTCCCATGGAGGCCCAGGGCCAACAGGGCGACATGCAAACGTCTCCCAGTGAACGGTCCAAAACACTTCCTCCCTGGAAGGTGGGCAGCCCCTCAGAGCTCACCTGAGGAACAGGGCACAGGTGCTCTGGCCCAGCACGTAGTCAGGAAGCACATCACCAAACTCCCAGGGCACGTTACGCACAAACTTCAGCACGGGGTTGCCCCTCTGGGGAGGGAGGGAGGAAGGGCCAAAGCCATTAACAGGAATAGCCCTGGGACTACTGCCACCCCAGGGCCCCCTCCCCCACTACTGTCAACACCTCCCCACCTCTTCCTGCCTGTGCCTGTGGTCCTCCTCTCCAGAGTCTACCTCCTCAGCCTGAAATGTCCTTGGTGCTCTGGCTCTGACCTAGGCCCCTCCCCCCAGCCCTGAGCCTTAACTAAAGGATCCCTGAGTCTCTCTAGCTCAGCCCTCTCCCCTGGCCCCACGTGTGTGTCCTGGGGCTGTGGGACACTTCCTCCAGGAGGTCTGCCTCACTGCCTCCAAGTGCCTTCAGCATCAGCCATCACACCTGCCCCTCCAACAGGCCCCACTTCAGGGACAGCCCCACCATCCAGAGACCTGAGCCTGATCATGGACATGTCCCTCTCCCCCTCCTCCTCCAGTTAGGATGTCTGCCTGAGACAGGATCCCATTTTCATTTTTAAAGGATTACTTTGGGGCATCTGGGTGTCTCAGTCAGTTAAGCATCTGCCTTGGGCTCAGGTCATGATCCCAGGGTCCTGGGATCGAGCCCTCCATTGGGCTCCCGGCTCCCTCTACCCCTCCCCGCTGCTCGTGATCTCTCTCTCTCAAATAAACAAAATACTTTTTTAAAAAGGATTACTGGACACCTGGGTGGCTCAGTGGGTTAAGCCACTGCCTTCGGCTCAGGTGGTGATCCCGGAGTTCTGAGATAGAGTCCTGCATCGGGCTCTCTGCTCCTTGGGGAGTCTGCTTCTCCCTCTAACCTTCTCCCCTCTCATGCTCTCTCTCACTCTCTTTCTCAAATAAATAAATAAAATCGTAAATAAATAAATAAATAAATAAATAAATAAATAAATGGATCACCTTGTCCCCTTCACACCCACAAGAATGGCCAAAACGGTCAAAAAGACAGACAAGGAAAGGCAGTGAGGATCTGGGCAAGCTGCAACGCCCGCCCACTGCTGGAGGGAACTAAACTGATGCTGTGTTGGAGAAGATGGTTTGGCAGTTCCTAAAAAAGCTCACTCTAGAGCCACCCCATGACCCAGCAAGTCCACCCCTGCATAAATCCCCCAGAGAACCGAAAACCCACATCTACCGAAAAACCCGAATGCAAATGTTCAGGGCACCATCTTCGGAATAACCAATGAGTACCAAGAGTGGAGGGAGGAGAACCCCGGCCCGGCACCCCCACACGCCCGGATACCCTCGGGCCCACGAAGGGGAAGGAAGGAAGCACGGACTCGAGCTTCCTCGTAGAGGAACCCGAAAGCCTTATGCCAGGTGAAAGGAGCCAGACGTCAGCCGACAGCCATGTGGGTGGTCTGCACTTTTTGGCTATTCGAAACAAACCTGCGGGGACCACTCGTGCCCCAGATTTTGTACTTTTCTCTGGAACATCTACCTAGAAGTAGACTTCCTGGGTCATACAGCAACTCTTATTTTTTTTAAGATTTTATTTTTGTGGGGGGTGTCTGGGTGGGCTCAGCTGATTAAGCATCTGACTCTTGTTTTCGGCTCAGGTCATGATCTCAGGGTCCTGGGATCGAGACCCGCGTCGGGCTCTCTGCTCAGCGGGGAGCCTGCTTCCCCCTCTCTCTCTCTGCCTGCCTTTCTGCCTACTTTTGATCTGTCAAATAGATAAATGAAATCTTTTAAAAAATTATATATATTTCTAAGTAATTAAACTTAACATGGGGCTCGAACCTACAACCCTAAGGTCCACCAGCTGAGCCAGCCAGGTACCCCAGTAACTCTATGCTTAAATGTCTGAGGAACCGCCAGACTGTTTTCCAAAGTGACTGCACCGTTGTGCATTCCCACCAGCAGCCCATGTGGGCTCCAGTTCCTTCCTGGCCTCTAGACCCTTCTATGGCCCCTTGATGAAAGCCATCCATAAGCTGCTACCCCACTGGGATCTTGATTTGCATTTCCCTGGTGGCAGACAATACTGCGTATATTTTCACATTCTCGGGTCCTACCAGTATCTCTGTAAGTGGCCGCTCTTCTGGAGAACAGGACCTCCGCCAACAGCAGAGCCCTCACCCGCTGCCCTTCCATCACTCTATCCCCAGCCTAGAACGAGCATCTGGCGACCTCTGAACATATCTGTGGACTGCAGGCAGGCGAAACCTCATTTCAAAGGCACAGATGAGTTAAGTCACTCACTCAAGATCACACAGCTACTGTGTGCCAGAGCAGGATGCGAACTCAGGCCTGCGTTCAAGAAACAGTTTTGGGGGGGCGCCTGGGTGGCTCAGTGGGTTAAAGCCTCTGCCTTCGGCTTGGGTCTTGATCCCAGGGTCTGGGTTCGAGCCCCACATCGGGCTCCCTGCTCAGCAGGGAGCCTGCTTTCCTTCCTCTCTCTCTCTGCCTACCTATGATCTCTGTCTGTCAAATAAATAAATAAAATCTTTAAAAAAAAAGAAAGAAAGAAAGAAAGAAAAAAGAAACAGTTTTTGAATGAATGAACAAACCCGGGGAACAGGAAACTTAGTTGCACTAACGTGGTCGCACCCAAAGAGTCAGAGTGTTACAGATAAACTTTTGTGCCCCCCCACCAAATTCACATGTGGAAATCCTAACCCATGATGTGATGGTATTAGGAAGTGAAGAGAGGCGATTTGGTCATGAAGGTGGAACCCTCATGAAGGGGATTAGGGCCTTCATAAAAGGGACCCCAGAGCGCTCCCTCCCCTCTTCTGCTGTGTGAGGACACACTGAGAAGACAGCAGTCTATGAACCGGGGTCCTTCCTGGACACTGAATCAGCCAGTGCCTTGATCTTGGACTTCCCAGGCTCCAGAACTCTGAGAAATAAATGTTTGCCGTTTAAACTACCCAGCCTATGGTATTTTTGTCATAACAAACAACAGGACACGGGGCAACCTCAGCTCATACGTGGTACTTGAATGGATGAATGAAAGAGGGGCCCAGCCCGGAGCACAGTGGCCAGAGCTCAGCCTCCCTTCCACTACCCACCAGAACTCCCCGCCCCATAACCCAAGTTTCCCCTACTTCTCTATCCCCTCCTTACCTGGCGGGGGCTCACAATGATGCTGCTGGATTTCGCCCCTGGTTTGGGGGCCTGATTAGCAGTCTCTCCTGCCAGGAGCTCAGGCCCCGGGGGTTGTGGCGCTCCAGCCCCTCCTGGAGGTCCCGAGATGGCATACTCAGCATATGTCTGAGGGGTTGCCTGAGGTGAGGTTTCCACAGTGGGCAGGCTCCGGGTGGATTTGAATAAGGGCTTGACCTGTGCAGGGAAGGGGAGTGTCAAAGTCAAAATCGAGCTCCTTCTCCCCACTCCTCAGCCTCTGCACTGGTCCTGGCAACCGTCTTCTCTCCCTTGGACCCCTGCAGTCACCTCCTCACCAGCTCCCTGCCGACACCCTTACTCCCCACAGTCTGTTCACTGTCATTTCATAACACTCTGCTTGGAGACCTCGGTGGCTCCCATCTCAGAGCAAAAGCCGAAGCTGTCACCACAGCCCACAAGACTCTGGACGATCTGTCCCTGCCCCCTTGCCTCAGGAGGGTCTCACCTCTCACCTCTTTCCCTTTGCTTTCTCTAGTCTAGCCCCACTGGCCTTCTGGCTGCCTTCAAACTCCCTGGGCCTTTGCACTGGCTGTCCCTTCTGCCTCCAGATGTTCTCACATAGCTCACTCCCTCAACTCTTTCAGATCACGGCGAGATGTCACCTCCTCAGAGAAGCAGTCCCTTCAAGTAAGGTAGCACCTTTCCCCCAACACCCCCTATACCGTTAGTTGTTTTTCTTCCTAGCCCCTAGTGACCAGCTGGTCCTCAGCACCAGCCAATTGTTTTCCCGTAGGAATGCAATCTCATTGTTGTCATCTCCTTCCATTTTCCAAAACATGCCAAAAGCGCAGACTTTCTTTTTAATTGCAAAGCCTTCCAATTCTCAAACGTCAGCAATAAACTGATGTTCTGCAAACCAGGGTGCCGGCCACATAAAACAAGGCTTGCCGGTTCGCTGTCCCTATCTGGAGCCCTCTCTTGGAATCACCATGACATTTTACAGATAGGGAAACAGACTTGCGGAGCACAGGTGTTTTCCCAAGGTGACCCAGGTCCCATTTCCTAACCCACACGTGTGGTCGCAGGGCCGTTCCTGTCCTCCTTCCTCTCAATCGCCCGCCCAGCCTCCCAGCCTTCTCCCCATCTCCTCGTCCTACCCTTGCAGGAGGGGCCTCATCCTCCTCCAGCGGTATGAAGAATTTCTTCCTCGTGGGTGGCCCAGAGGGCTGCCGCACTCCCTCTTCGTCCATCCCAAGGTTCTTCTGGGGCCTGGAAATGAAGACATGGCGGCGGGGGCGAGGGAGACACCAGGGCCTGCATTCCCATCCTCCCAGCAGGAACCCCCACTCACAGCCACCGCACCCCAAAAATCCCCGCGCAACACAGCGTCAAGTTCCAAACACCCAGTGCCCCGGATTCTTTAAAGCCCCGCCCACAGGGAGCCTCCACCATCAGCTCGCCCCGCCCCTTACCGGTCTAGGCGTTCCATTAACCCCGCCCCTCATGGTCCCCACTTTCTATTCGCCCCGCCCTTCGTTGGTCCAGTCCAGCCTCTGTCCCCTCCTTCCCGCCCACAGGGCTCGCACCTGATACCCTCCCCTAGCTCCATCTCGTCCTTCTCTGAAACACTACGACGATTGATTGGCTCCTGTGGCTACCAATCGCCTCCCCCTCCCCCCGCCCCTCTCGACCGAGCAGGCGGTCGGAGCGCCGCGAGGACTCACCCTTGCCCCCGAGCCGCGAGTGAAAAACCGGAGAGGGACCGAGGCTTCCCACCGCCGACGCGGCCAGCGGGTCCCCGGGCTCGCCGCACTTCCGGCCTCTCTAGCCCCCGATCCTGCTCTCACTGTTCCCCAGAGGGGGTAGAGCTTCGAGAGGGGCTGTCCCCGCGCCAGCTCTCTATGGTCCTGGAGGACTGCGGAGGTTTGGGTTGGAGAGAGCGGTTGACCTAGCCACCTGACCGTCTCCGGTTGCCGAGAAGTTCAATTTCGGTGCCTTTATGAGGCACCTCCGTGTGCTCGAGCTCCGGACAGGATTCACTGCGAGGGTGGAGTGGGGTGGGATGGAGGGGCGGGGTGGGTTGGGGGGGAATGGCGGGAGATCAAATTAGGTTCCCCCCGGGGCATTTGGGTGGCTCAGTGGGTTAAGCCTCTGCCTTGGGCTCAGGTCATGATCTCAGGGTCCTGGGAGCGAGCCCCGCATCGGGCTCTCTGCTCAGCGAGGAGCCTGCTTCATCCCCCCGCCCCGACCGCCTGCTTGTGATTTCTCTCTGTGTTAAATAAATAAATAAAACCTTAAAAAAAAATTAGGTTCCTCCTCTCAGTCCAGACTTGGGTTCACATCCCAGCTCTAGGCCTTTGACTTGGCCGCGGTTTCCACATTCATTTATTCGTTCATTCCACACGTACTCCCGAGCGCCTCCTCTGTTCCTGGCCCTGTGCGGGGCAGTGCTAGCGACTCAGCAGTGACCCCTGACAACCGCAGCTCCCTCCTGTCCTCCTGGAGCTCCCAGTCCAGTGAGCGAGACACGCTTGAGTTCCCAGTGACCGCCCGGAGTGGGCAAGGCTGGGATGGGAGACCGGGCACCGCCCGCGGGAGGGGAGGGGAGAGAAGGGGCCACCGAACCCGAGCCCCGGGGTAGGGAAGGGCTTCCTGGAGGAAGAGACATCTGAGCAGAGAGACCTGGTTGATGAGTTAGTATTAGTCATTTCCTGAAAGAACAGCATCACACTGTTCTAACTTGCGGCTCTCCGGTTACTAAGGAGAGAGAACATCTTTTTGTTGAGTTTATTGGTCTTATGTAGTTTGTCTTCTGTGAATTGCTTGCTCATATCCTTTGCCCATTTTTTTAATGGGGTTGTATGCTTTTTTTTTATTAGTCTTAATTTGTAGGAGTACTTTATGGATTCCGATTCTAATTCTTAGTTAAGTATATTCCAAGTATCTCCTCCTAGTTTGTACTTTGTATTTTAACTATTTATGTCACAGAGAATTCTTAGTGTTTATTCAGAACTGTTTATCAGTCTGTTCGGTGCTGACTTTGGCTTTTGGTGTGTTAAGAGACCTGCCATACCCTCAAGGTTATAAAAATATCAATTACTTTTAATACTTTCAGAGTCTTGATTTTGTTTCTGTCTTTAATCCATATAAGACTTAATTTTGAAGATGCACTATGGCAGGAATTTATGATGAATGTAGCCAACTGTCCCAATACGATATATTTTTTTTTAAGATTTTATTTATTTATTTGACAGACAGAGATCACAAGTAGGCAGAGAGGCAGGCAGAGAGAGAGAGAGAGGGAAGCAGGCTTCCCGCTGAGCAGAGAACCCGATTCAGGGCTCGATCCCAGGACCCTGAGATCATGACCTGAGCCAAAGGCAGAGGCTTTAACCCACTGAGCCACCCAGGCACCCCCCCTTTCCCCAGTTTTGATATTTCACCTTTATCGTGAGCCAAATTCCCATATATACATGTCTATATATGTCTATTTCTGACATTTCTGTTAAGTTTTATTAATCTCTATATCTGTTCCTTGCGTCCATGCTGTACTGTTTAATGATTTTATTTTTTTTTAAGATTTTATTTATTTATTTGACAGACAGAGATCACAAGTACGCAGAGAGGCAGGCAGAGAGAGAGGATGGGGGAAGCAGGCTCCCCGCCGAGCAGAGAGCCCGACGCGGGGCTCGATCCCAGGACCCTGGGACCACGACCTGAACTGAAGGCAGAGGCTTCAACCCACTGAGCCACCCAGGCACCCCTAATGATTTTATTTTAATACATTTTGTGATCACATCAGGCAAGTCCCCCCTGTTCAGTTTCAAATCTGTCTTTACTGTTCTTACACCTTTTCTCTTCTAGATGGATTTTAGCATCTTGGAATTTCAATGAATTGATGGTTTCATTTTTTCAAAGATTTTATTTATTTATTTGAGACAGAGAGAGTGTGAGAGAGTGCACAAGCAAAGGGGAGGTGCAGAGAGAGAAGTAGACTCTGGGCTGAGCAGGGAGCCGGACACAGGGGGGTTGATCCCAGCATCCTGGGATCATGACCTGAGCCAAAGGCAGACCCTTAACTAACTGAGCCATCCTAGGGGCCTCAAGTGATGGGTTAATTAAAAGACACCTTTTTCATATACCTGAATATACTGATTGTCTCTATCTCTCCAACGATTCCAGCTTTTGTTAGGAGCCTACTATAAAAGTTTTTTATAAATAATTTTTATTTGTACGATTGATTCATAAATACATTTTTTATTAGTCTCCTAGGAGAACTGTAACAAAGTACCCAAAACTGGGTGGCTTAAGTGACAGAAATGAATTGTCTCACGGTTCTGGAGGCTACAGGTCCAAAGTCAAGGTGTTGGCAGGGCTGTGTCCCCTCCTAGTGCACCAGGAAAGAATCAGGAAAGGATCTGTTCCAGGCCTTTCTCCCAACTGCTGGTAGCCTCAGGAGTTTCTTGGCTTGTAGATGGCCATTATCTCTCTGCGTCAGGGTCTTTTCTGTGTGTGTGTCTGTCTCTGTGCCTAAACTCCCCTGTTTATAAAGACACCAGTCAAACTGGATTAGGGCCCATGCTAATGACCTCATTTTAACTTGATTATCTCTGTAAAGACCTTATTTCCAAATAAGGTCACATTCTGAAGTACCAGGGGTTAGGACTCCAATACATCTTTTTTGGAAGATAAGCGTCAATCTATAACAATTCTGTTACTTTTTATAACCTTCTTTCTTCAGAATTCATTTTACTATTTGCTTGAGTCCATTCACTTCTAATGCTTTCAGAGAGCTTTCTGGATAGTCATGTTCTGAGTCTGGCTCATCTCAAAGGTAACTTCATTTTGTCCTCACAATTGGAATCTCTGATTCTGGGTTCCTAGTTATTTTTCTTGCAAAGTTAGAAGATACCAGTCCTCTCTCTCTGGCTTCTGCGTGGCTGATAGGAAGCGTACCATCCCCATGATTCTCCCTCCTACCTATGCATGCTCATCACTGGGTGTAATTCTCCCCCAAGGTCATCTACTAGCTATGTGACCTTGTGCCAGCCACTCAGCTTCTCTGTTCGTATCAGTTTGCTCATCTCTAAAATGGGGATGGGGCACCTGGCTGATGCAGTCAGTAGAGTGAGTGACTCTCAATCTCTGGGTGGTGAGTTTGAGCCCCATGTTGGGTGTAGCAATTACTTAAAAATAAATAAATAAAATAAACTTTAAAAATAAATAAGATGGGGGGGGACACCTGCCCGATGGCTCAGTCGGATAAGCGTCTGCCTTCGGCTCAGGTCATGATCCTGGAGTCCTGGAATCAAGTCCCACATCCAGCTCCTTGCTCAGTGGGGAGCCTGCTTCTCCCTCTGCCTGCTTGTGTGCTCTCTCTTCCTCTCTTTCTCTCTGACAAATAAATTTTTTAAAAAATCTTAAAAATAAATAAGATGGGAATAACAGTAGTAGATGTGTTATGAGAATGGAATGAGTTACGTGTCACCAGCCTAAAACTATACTTGGCGCACGGTAGGTGCTATATTTGATTTGAGTTTGTCATAAGAATAAAATAGCCCTAACCAAGTCCTGGACAGCAGGGGCTGGAGCTGTTGTGGCCACTGCTGTATCACCGTGTCCCTGCCCACCTCACCCTACCTCCCCACCTCCCTCACCCCTCCCCACTCACCCACTCCCCAACCCCCACGCTCCACCCCCCAGCGCCTGGCAACCAGAAGGGGCTAACAAACAGGGTATTGTGTGAATGATCAGAGAGCAGAGGCTAAGCGCTACAGCAAGCAACTGCACTGCTGGGGGTCTCAGTTTCCCCATCTGTAACTGCTAAGAACTCAGTAAGACCACAGGGAACTGTATCGAGATGGACAGTTCACCCATCCCTTGAATCCCTACATACTGAGCACCTACTATGTGCCAGGCACCGGGGACACAGTGGTGAACAAGTCAGCCCAGGTCCCTGCCCTGTGGGGCTGATGGTCTGTCTCATGGAGGAGACAGGCCACGAGAAGGAAGCACACGAATCAGAGAGTTTCAGAGGGCCACCTGTGCTATGAAGAAGAAAAAGCACGGCGCTGTGAGGCAGGTAATGCGGGAGGAGGGCTCACACTGTCACAGGGTGAGGAGCTCTATAAATAATAAAAATATTGCCACCAACTAGAGTCCCATCGAAATAGGTTGAGCACTTACTATGAGCTAAGGCCTCACGATAATCCTCCCCTTAAGTATTGACAGGCCATTTGACATATGAGGGAACTGAGTCCCCAGCGACACAGAGAAGGACCTTGGAAATGTGTCCCTGAATCCAAGGGCAAGAGATTGTATTCTAGAAAGAGACCAGCCTGGGTGGAATTTAGTTTCTCCCTTCGTGGAATGGAATTGCCAAACCAACCTGCAACTCGGGCCTTTTCCGCCAGGGGGCGATGTCGCCCCGCAAGAGGATTTGGGGTGTAGGGGCGCGGGGAGCTGCTCTGCCAGTCTCCGCGCCCCGCGCCGGGGTACAAGACCCCGCTCAGGCGGCCTCTTCGCTACGTCTGACTCGATTCTTTGGGGGCAGAAGTGCGGCAAAGGCCCCGCGGCTTGCGGCTAATGAAACGCCGAGCCTGTTGGCATTAGCGTGCGGAAAAGTTGCCCTCGGTTCTACATCATTTCTGAGTTTGATTTCTACTCTATTCCCTAACAGAACTTTCGGATCCTGCTTTCGAAGCTTCCCGACTCCCAGAGTGGCGAGCTCGAATGTTTCACCTGTCCCCACTCTGATTCCGCGCCCTCCTTCCAAACGCTCCAAGTTCAAATCCCAGCCGCAATTCCAGTTCCCCGGGTGGCTTCTCGAATCAGACCCTTGCTCC